CTGCCTTCGTATGAAACGCCGCTCCTGAGTTCTGCTGTTCGAGTCCTGCCAACGACATCGGAAGACGCGGTTACGGTGCAGCAGTCATTAACAGATTGCGGTCGGCTGACGTGGATGATTCAGGCATTTGAAGATCGTGGCCACCTCAGGGCTTCCATTGATCCGTTGGGCTACGAATGTGACGATTCTATTAGCCGAAGCTATTCGCGCAAGTATAAAGAGGTACTGCGTCTCGATCTCGCCTCCTTTGGGTTTACACCGGATGACTACAACCGTGTGGTGCGGGTCGGTTTCCAGGACAAGGTGGGTGGCGTGCTGAACACCAACAGCCGTCCAATGACGATCAAGGAACTGCACGAATACCTCACCATGCGTTTCTGTGGCAAAGTTGGCTACGAATTGTCGCATATTGCGGACGTTGATGTCGCCCGCTTTCTACGTGAAGTGGTGGAGACAGGGGATGGCGGATACAATCCCTTGCATCGCAGTCTCAGTAAGGAGGAACGCCTGTGGGCCTGGGACCTGGTTGCCTCTTCCGTTCACTTTGAGGACTTTTTTAAACGCAAGTACTCGACCCAAAAGCGGTTTGGTGCCGATGGGGCGGAGTCTCTCGTCGTTGGCTTGCGTGCACTTATGGACGCTTCCTCCAAACAAGGTGTAGAGAAAATAAACATTGCTATGGCACATCGTGGTCGTCTGAATGTCCTTTATCATGTCATTGGCAAGCCGTTTCCTGTGATACTGAAGGAATTCGTGGGAATCACGGGGAAGGAGTTGGAGCCGTTCAAGATTCAGTCGGATGTAAAGTACCACCTGGGGGCGCGATCGACCATGACGATGCGAAATGGAAAGCCAATGGACACAGAGCTGCTTTCCAACCCATCACACCTCGAGGCGGTGAACCCTGTTCTGCAGGGATATACCCGGGCGGCACAAGCATCGCTGGGGAAAGATGGATCTTCCACTGTGTTGCCGGTTGAAATTCATGGCGATGCCGCCTTCAGTGGTCAGGGCATTGTCTTTGAAACGATGTGCATCAGCGAGGTTGACGAATACAGTACGGGGGGCACCGTTCATGTGGTGGTGAATAATCAAATTGGGTTCACCACAGACCCTAAGTCCTCTCGTAGCAGCGCGTACTGCACAGACTTGGGTCGCGTGTTTCAATGCCCCATTTTTCACGTAAATGGGGACTCGGTGGAGGATGTTGTTCGTATATTTGAGTTTGCTGCAGATTTTCGAGCGAAGTTTAAAAAGTCCGTTGTCATTGATCTTGTCTGCTACCGCCGGTTTGGCCACAATGAAAATGATGATCCGACAATTACACAACCCCTCATTTACAGCCGCATTAGCGCAATGGGTGACTTGTTTAATAAATACTCGGGGGAACTGATTGCGTCGGGTGTCATTACGCCACAGCAGCAGACAGCAAAATCGATTGCGGAAAAGGGACGCTATGGCAATTTCCAGGCGGAGGTGCCTCTTGTGCATTACAGCAGTTACCTCAAATCCTGCATCCCAGAAATGTGGAGGAGCATGAAATACTCGGATCAGTTAGGGGATGTTAAGATGGAGTCAACGGCTGTATCTCGCGAACAACTTCAGCCTGTGTTGGATGCACTGAAAACGCTTCCGGAAGGCTTTGTTGTGCATCCCAAGTTGAAAAACGTGCTGGATCGCCGTAATGACACACTGGAGAAGGGTGAAGGGATTGACTGGGGAACAGCAGAGGCATTGGCGTTTGGATCACTCGTGTTGGAGGGTACACATGTGCGCGTGATGGGGCAGGACGTGGAGCGCGGGACCTTTTCTCAGCGTCATGCTGTCTTGCACAATCAGGAAGGGATCGGCAAGTACGTTCCACTAGCAAACATCAGTAAGGATCAGGCCCCATTTATAATTACGAATGGTCCACTTAGTGAGTACGGCATGCTTGGTTACGCCAGCGGTTACTCCCTTTATGACCCGAACTCCCTCGTTATGTGGGAGGCGCAGTATGGAGATTTTGCAAATGGTGCCACCATCGTATTTGACCAGTTCATTTCCGCTGGGGAGTCCAAATGGAATCAGCAACAGGCTGTCATTGTGTCACTTCCACATGGCCATGATGGGAGGGGTGCAGAACACAGCAGCGGTCGTATTGAACGCTTCCTGCAGGCCGTTGCGGAGGATGTTGATACCCCGGCGTACTCTCCGGCGGAGCGTGCCCACCGTGTGAACATGGAGGTTGTATATCCCAGCACTCCCGCTCAGTACTTCCACGTTTTGCGGCGACACGTGCGACGAGATTTCCGCAAGCCGCTGATTCTCTTTTTCTCTAAACAGTTTATCCGCTCACCAAACGAATCCTCCATGGATGACATCACATTGGGCACGTTCTGTCCTGTTATTGGGGATGCATCGGTGCCGCCGGAGAAGGCACGCCGCCTCGTGTTGTGCACCGGACAACTGTACCACATCCTCAATGCATGCCGCGCTAAGAATGGGAACACCGATGTGGCTCTTGTTCGCATCGAGGAGCTTTCGCCATTCCCTGTGGCGGAGGTGCAGAAGTTACTGCTGGACTACGGCAACGCGGAGTTGATGTGGGCACAGGAGGAGCCGAGGAACCAGGGCGCGTACTATCATGTGGAGCCACGCATTGAATTTTACACAGGCGGTAAACGCGAGTTGAGGTACGCCGGTAGAGAAATCAGCGCGTCTCCGTCGACCGGCTACAAGAGCACACACGACGCCGAGGAAAGACACATTTGCGGGGTTGTTTTTGCGTAGCGGCATGATCCCCATCCCGTCTTCTTCCTTCATTCCTTTATTCCTTGCTGAAAATGTATTTACATGCACCCTCCCGTAGGAAGAAGAAGAAGAAGAAGAATGTGGTAGTGGTGGTAGTGGTGGTTAGCCGCTAAATAATCGACCCTTCAAATGACGTTGGAACCGAAGAAAAAAAAATAATAGTAGTAGTAGTATTCCTCTTTAGGGAATAACAACAAGAACCACAAGATTATAAATCGGATGCTTTTTTTTTTTTTTTTAAGCGCTTGAGAAGAAGAAGAAATGAAAAAAAAAATATATAAATATAAATATAAATATATATTTTTTAAAAATACACGAAAAGAATGTTTTTTCTCAAATGATGAAACGAAAACCAAACAGACACACACACACACACGGAAAAAAAATATATTTTTATTTTTATTTGCATACAAATCTACACACAGGCGTACTTCTTTATTTGCAGATGTTATCTCACCTGTGCGTCGTGACGGTTTTGATGTCGTAATTGTTCTGTGGTAGGAGGGCGTGGAAAGAAGAAAAAAAAGAAGACGGGAGAAAAAAAAAAAAAAAAGGTTAATTGTGGTGGCGGTGATGTGTCGGGGATTATTATTATTACTTTTTTTTTTCCTGCCGCCTGCTCTGTTACCCCGTATGCGTATTTGCACATGTATAAAAATGTGCGTGTGTATTTATTTTGTGTTTGTGTTTTTTTTTTTTTATGGGGCTTTTTGTAATGTGTGGGCTCCGTGACTTTGGTGTGCGGTGGGCAATAGAGGAAGAAGAAGGCAAGGGGGGGGAGGAGAACACGCATGTGAATTGGCCGACACAAATGCGGAAAAACGAAAAGAAAAGAAAAGAAAAGGGCTTTTGTCTGTCTCTCTGCGTGTGTGTAAATAAAACGCCGAAAGAAACACCGGCGGCAGCCGAAGGAATTGGACGTCATTGAGTGAGAGGAAAAAAAGAGAAAAAAACAAAATTGATTGAAAAAATGAAGGAGGGGGGAAAAATGGATGCACCCAAATAAATTACTAATAATAACTATTATTATTATTATTATTTATTTTATTATTTATTTTTTTGCAGTGCGATTCCTTTTTTTTTTTCTTTTTTCTTTTTCCTTTTTCTTCGGTGGCACACGTCAGCGCCGCAAGGGAGGAGTGAGGCAGAGAAGAAAGGGGGAGGGCGGGGGGCGAGAAGGTAAATAAAAAAACAAAAACAAAAAAAAGGAAATAACAGGAGGAGGGGGGGAGGTGGGATCAGGTGAAGTCCAAAAAATGTTGCAACGCTCTTTCTCTCTGCTGAGCATGGCCAAACAGAAGGTCTATGAACTTCGTGTTTACGATATAATTCCGAATAAGTACGACACGTTTTATCGCATGTCGATGGAGCTTCTCCCATTAAGAACGGCGGTGAGTAGGTGCCAAGGCTACTGGGTAGTGCAAATTGGCGGGCTCAACCAGATGGTACATCTTTGGGAGTACGACTCTCTGCAGCATCGCTATCAGATACGCAATAAAATTGACCGTGACACGGATTGGACACGTCGCTACACGTATCCGCGTCAAGAATGTTTATCGTCGCAGACAAACATGTTGATGCGTATGACATACCGCGAAGGCAATGTCAGCACCAACAGCTTCAAGTACATGATGAAGATTACACCGGAGAAGGAGTTGGTATTGACAACGCCTGGGGTAACATTGGCAGCTTCTTACCTTGTCACAATCGGTGAGCATGAGGGAAAGTACTTTCATCTTTTGAAGGGAATGATGCTGGATGACCTTCTGCAGGTGGAGTCGATACCTGGTAGCGTTTCGAAGATTATGGGCCCGGCACGCTGGTCCTCGTCAATGGGATGTATCTGGCGTTGACACGGGGACTTGTATGTCTGCTGGGTAAACATGTGATGGAGAGGGGGGTTGGGGTGGTGGTGGGGGAAACGGCAGCCAACAGTCCAAGATAAAAAGGAAAAATAAAACTGAAAAACAAAAAAAAAACAGAAAAAGAAAGAAAAAAGAGGCTCAGGACTTAAGACAGCAAGAAAGAAAAGGAACAACAGCAACAAAAATCGGTGAGTGCACGTGAGAGTGAAAGGGCGCGGTGTAAAAAAAAAAAAGGGGGGGTGTGATGGAGCAGTTTGGGCTTCGACGACCGATCCTACCCCTTCCCCTTCTTGCCTTGAGTTTCTTGCCGTGCTGCTGCCGCTTCTTGAGGGACGTCGTTTGATGCCACAGAAGCCTCTTTTTTTTATTTATTTTTTTTTTTTTCAAGACACGCCTGATTTTGGCGGGGTAGACACACAGACAAATAATAACAATAAAAAAAGGGGATTCACACGTGACGGGCGTGGAAAACTCGCAGGGGGAGACGCACACAGTAGACGGGACAGGAGGATGCGGTTGCGTGGATGGGGGCACACGGCATTCCAGACGAGACTGAACGGCAGTCGCTGCTGGGGTAGCCGCGGTGCTAGCAGCGCCTCACAATGCGTGGCTCTCCGTAGTGCTTCTTCTTCTTTTTCCATGTCTACGTCACGAAGCCCATTTGACGCGGTGTATGTCATAAATCTAAATAGGCGGCCTGACCGTTGGAAATTTATATTGCGTCAGTTGCAGCGCGCAGGGTTCCGTGAGGGCGAATACGAGCGATTTACCGCGGTTGACGGTCGTGCCGTCGATATTCAAAAGGCACAGGCATGTGGATTGGTGTCTTTGTTGGGGATTCTTCGCCTAAGAGAGGAAGAGTCGCGTCGCATTTGGGGGATGGATTTAAATCCCGCAGCAGTGGGATGTGCACTCAGCCATGTATTGCTCTGGGCCACCATTGCGGCACGGCGCTATCACCGTGTCCTCGTGGTAGAGGATGACTCCTTGTTTCCACATGATTTTCAAAAAAAGTACGATGAGCGCATGCGTCACGTTCCGCAGGATTGGGAACTTGTGTATGTGAGCGGACTTGACACGGCGGATCAGACATCTCAGCTGCGTGTTGCAGAGGGTGTGAGTCGTGTGCCTCAGATGCACCGGACAACGAATTGCTACGTTGTCACCCATCACGGGGCCCGTCGGTTACTGGAGTTGTGCCTGCCGATGACATATCAACTGGACACGATGATGACGATGCATGCGGTATCGGATCCCCAGAGTGGCGTACCCCATGTGACATCCCCTGTCTGTTACACACTACAGCCTCCTTTGGTGGTGCAGGCGACACGGATGGGATCAGACATTCAGTCTAGTAACGGCAGGGATGAGCAGGAGGAGGAGCGAGCACGATGTAGGGCAGCGGGATGGACCACCGATTGAACTTCATGCATTGAAGCACAACGGCCATTGAATGCAGAAGGGATATGTATGCAGGCACACGGATACACCTTCTTCAGCTACAAGTGTTTGTTTTTTTACCTTTTTTGGTTGCTCTGCTGCTAATATTGATGATGAAGATGATGTCGCATTTCTCTCTTCCTCTCATCCCTAATGTATGTTTTTCTTATTTCCTTTTGCTTCTTCCTTTTTGTAATTATGATTCTCAATACCCACACACAATTCCACAACGCACATATATATATATATATCCTTGACCCTTTTAGTAGAGTCTAGTTTGGTGCCCAGAAGGCTTGGTCACACCATCACATTTATCTTATCAGCCACGCCGATGCTTGATAAGCTGTTTAAACGTGTGGATCCCCAGGAGCAAACGAAGTTGTGGCGGCGGAACCTCAGCTCGGAGATGCGCAAGATTGACACACAAATTCGTAAAATTCAACGGGAGGAGATGAAAGTAAAACAGGCGGCGAAGGCAGCCGCACGCAAGGGGGACACAGTGGCGGTACGCATGCTCTCTAAGGAGATCATTCGGGCACGTCATGCGGTGAAGCGTTTGTACTGTGCCCGTACCCAAATGAATTCGGTCTCTATGCATCTACAACAGCAGGCATCGCAAATTAAACTGGCGGGAAATATCCAGAAGAGCGCGGCCATCATGACACAGATGAACGAGCTGATGCGTGTGCAGGAGGTGCAGGCCACAATGCGGGCAATGAGCAAAGAGATGATGAAGGCGGGTTTGATCGAGGAGACAATAAATGACACGGTTGACAACGCACTAGATGAGGACATTAGCAATGCCGAGCTGGATGACGAGGTGAACAAGGTGGTCGAGGAGGTCATGCACGGCAAGATGCAAGGCGCGACAGTTGGCCAGGCCAAGTTACCGCAAACTCAGCAGGTCACGGAGGAAGTGAACGCTGCAGATGAGGACGAGGATGATCTCCTAGAGAAGTTTAATGTTCTTCGCGGTAGTGCCACGTGAGTGCATGAGGGACCAGAATGGGACGCCTCCACGCATATGTACACACCTATATATCTACAGCCGTGCTCGCAACCGTATGTGTGGAGACGAAGGAGATGAGGGGGGAACGCTCTGGCATTGCTTTCACCCTTCATGTCGTGTCGCCTTTTTGTTTCCCGTGCATTGGGGTCAGTACAAATTGCTTTGAGAACAACAAGAACCATCCGAAAAAGGAGGTTGAATAAAACAACAACAACAACAACTACAAGTAAGTAAGTTTATATTTACCGTTCTTCTGGTTATGTGCTGCTGCTGCTGCTGCTGGAGCGGCAGCCTGAGGAAAATGAAACTTTGAAAACGAAACCCCGGAACAGATGCAATAAAACAAAAAAGGAAAGAAAGAATAAAAAAGGAAGGAGCAGAAAATAATTTCCTTTCAATTGCGCGAGTTGCGGTGAGAAATGTGGTGCATTGCTTTTGAGGCGGGAGGGCCTTTGATCCTTTCTTACTCTCCTTCCTTTCTTTCTCTTCCTCTCTCACTCTCTCTCTCTCTGGGCGTCGGCGTGTAGTGCGTGGAAGGAAGGAGTACGAGAGCCCATCGAAGGGAGTACTGTTGGGGCGGAACGCACGGAGGTGGCGGCAGGGAAAGGATTTAATCATAAAAGACGAAAAGGACTCAGGCCCATTATACACACCGGCCTGTGGCTAGTTTGTAGTTCTATAGGAATTTCTTTGAAGGCTATACACACAATTAAGGAACAACAACAAAAAAAGGAAGAAGAACCAGACGGAGCACGAAGAAAGTGTGTGTGTGTGTGTGTGGGGCGCGCTGCTCAACACAGAAGGGGGAAAAGAACAACAACAACGAAACAAAGAGAGAGGGGCGTGGGTGGACAGCTCCATTTTGTGTTGAACACACATATATTTATATATATTTGTAAAGGAAAGGAGAAAAGCGGCAAGAGTGGGCATCATTTTTGTGTGGCCCAAAAGAAAACAGTTTCGCAGTAGTCATTTAAGTCAGTTACACCAGATATATATATATACATAGAGAGGGAGAGAGATAACGGTGCTGTGTGTGTGTGTGTGTGTTTCTCTGCTCAACTGGAGAGGAGGGGTGGGGCGTTCTTTCACGCCTAGTGGAAGTCCCTTTCTAGTTTTTTCTAAAAAAAAAAAAAAAAGAACTTATTTGTTGTAGTGATTGGTTTGTGTTTGTTATTATTGCCTCCTCCATTTTAATTTTTGAGGTGATGGGGAACTGCGAGGAATTGTCGTACGAGGAGGCTCACGCCGCACAGACGCGCTCCGGGCCGACGGTCCTGTCGAAAGAACATCAACGCAAGAATTTGGAGCTCCGCTCCCGTTTGCGTGATGTTCTCCCTGTTGACGACCGCCAAAAACTCTCTGACTGTGATCTGCTCTACCGGTTCCTCATTGGCAGGCGGTGGGTGGTGGAGGCGGCGGATGCATCCTTGCGAACGTACGTTTCCCTGCGTAAAAAAATGAACTTGAACACTATAATCGCAGAGAAATTTTCGAAGGAAGTTGAAACGACCGCCTCGTGTTTGTACGGGTTTGACAAGGAGGGATTTCCTGTCATGTGGAATACACCCGACATTCCGCTCTTGGTGAGGATGCTGAAGGATGGATTAGAGAGAGATTTGCTGCGGGTGCAAATGCAGTCGATGGAAAAGGCACGATTTTTGGCGAAGGAGCGGCATGTAGACCGTTGCACACTTGTATTGGATCTTCGTCACGTTGGTATTTCATCTGCCAACTCCGTTATATTATCTTTTTCGCGTGAGTTGGCGAAGATCATGCAGGCATATTACCCGGAGATTATGTGCCGCATGCTTGTCTTCAACGCTGGTTGGGCAGTGGCAGGGGCGTGGAAGATGTTAAGGCCGTTTGTTGACCAACGCGTGCAGGATAAGGTACGCTTCTTTCCTGGAGCCCCCACGATGGAGGCTATTCTTCCGTTTATTGACGAAGATCAGTTCCCGCCCTCATTCGGAGGAAAAGGCACACGAGATGTTGCAGCGGAAATGCTTCAGGCTGAAATCGAACACGTGCAAGGCATCCCCGTGGGGGAATCACCGCAGGGGACCTCAAACACAGTGGTGCCCACCACAACGGGCCCAACGGCGACGAATGTATCCATAACGGCGATTTCATTGCCGCATTCCGTACACCCTGGTTCTTTAAGAGTGATGGGGGAAAAAATGGGTATCAGCACCACGCCACCTTGCTTGCCAGACGATACTTCCGTGGGAGTTGGATCGGGGAGTGCCGATGCGTTTAGCACATGCGTCTCGGCCGACAATGAGGCGTTGGAGGTGTTTAGTTTCTGCAGCTCCATTCGTTCTGACAGCGACGATGCGGTTTCTTTGCCATTGATACAAATAGGTTCACTGGAGGCCCTGGAGCTATCTGACAAGAAGAGGGGCGGCCCCGAATCTCGTGCGGGGAAGGAGCGGCAGGTGCAATTTTTGGTGCCCGAAAGGACGTCGATGTCTATTAATCTAACAGAGTACGCGGATGACAAAATTATTGGATTTTTTGGCAATAAATTTGTTGGGGAAGTAGAACATAACTTTGTGTACGGCGCTTCTGAAGGTTTTATGGAAAATGTTCTTGTGCCGCGAACCTCTTCGTCTTTCTCTTCTTCCCCCACCGCGTTTTTTTCAGCACCGTCTGCGGTTCGTGAACGGGTGATGATGGGGGAGTTGCTGAACGAGAGTGGTCATCGCATCCATCCCCATGTGATTGTCTGCGATGCCCAACGGCGCGCCCGCTTTGTCTTGCGGAAAAGTCGGCTACGTCGGTGTGTGGACGTGTTTCAGTTCTTGGGCGGGGCAAACGTCATGACAGACAGCCTGACGCGCCACACTGTTTCGGGTGAAAGGGTGAAACTGGCGAAGTGCGTGCCGCACCGTGAGGACACCGACGACCCGACGGTGTGGATGATGAACGCCGTGACGGCGGACGGCAGCAGGCAGCTGCGACAGCAGCGAGCCTCGCAGTGCTTGGCGGAAAAGAAGGGACAAACACTCATCGCTTACGGCATGCTAGCGGCAATGGCGCCCATTGACGTCTTCACGTTGCTTGTTGGTGTCTGCCGCGTGTGGGAGGCGGGTGTACGCCTTGCACCGCGGGGCTGCGGGATTCCCAAAGCGAAGAATCTCTTCGGTGTGCAGATGCCGTTGGTCAAACCAGCGATTTTTCGCAGGTTCTGGCGGCCCGAATCGTCCATGCCTGCCACGGACGCGAATCAAGAAACCGAAACGCATCCGGAATAAACACACAGACAAACATGTACACATCGTTCTCTTTTTTTTTTTTTTTTTGCTTCGCTTGTATTTTTGTTTTTGTTTTGTCTCTGGCTGTTCAGCTTCTTGTGTTGCTGTAGACGCTTGGCCTGCATTGCGGGTGTCCCCACTCACACACCTGACTCTTTTTTTTTTTTTTTGTCCTTCCCCCTTCCGTCTTCCTGCAGTGCATGCACCCCCCCCTCTCCCGGTATGTTTTGTTTAGATTTCTCCCGGTGGGGGGGTTCTTTTTGAAGGAAATTGTGTGCAAAGAGTGGCTTTTGTACATCACAAAACATAAATGAAAAGCAAACAACAAAACAAAAACAACACACACACCGGATAAAAAGAAAAAAAAGAAAAAGAGGGCCGGCAGGGCTCGAGGGAACGGGTTGAGGAACACCCAACGGATCACGCGTCCGCCACGAGGTGCATTTATGCAATAAATACCCACAGCTGCCTTCTTCACATGCAAATTTGATGCGGTGCCCCCTTTTTTTTTTTTTTTCTGGTACGTGTGTGTGTGCCTCTGTAAATTTGTTTCTCACTTCTTTTATGTTTGAATTGGAGACTCTTTGTGGGTGCAGCCTCACGACTTGCAGTATGACGGGTGGGCAACGACACGGGAGGGGAGGGAGTCTTCTCTGCATTTATACCACCACCACCACCATTACTATTACCATATAGAGCGGTGTATCATTTTCATGTATATTTTCTTTTCTTTCTTTTTCGTTGGTGCTTTTTTTTTGTCTTTTGCATCTGCTTGAACCGTTCTTTTCTCTTTTTTTTTCCCTTTTTTTGTTCGTTTGTGCACATGGGTTGGTCCCGCTGCAGTGAGGGCGCTGCTTTTAGCAATGCTGGAGAGGGAGCGTCTGCAAGAGAAGGAGCGGAACCCAGGCCTTTTGGGTCGACTTCTCCGCAAGGTGGATGGCTGCGATGTGCGCTTTATTTTTGACGGAAAGATGGATGAGTGCATGGTGACGGTGGACGACCCCTACGAGCGTAAAAGCGAGCGGCTACATTTGTTCTCTGATAATGAGCCGGTGTGCGGTCGTGTGGTGCTCACACCGAAGGGGGCATACCGCCACAACGGTGTTCTTCTGGAGTTGGTGGGGGTCATTGCAACCTTCGAGGAGAGTGAGGAAAAAGTTGAATTTATGCGGCAAGATAAACTTTTTGAACCCGATACGTTTCGCTCGGTGACATCGTTGGAGTTTAACTTTGCTGCGCCACGGGAGTACGAGTCGTACCGCGGTATGAATGCCCGTGTGTCGTATTACGTACGTGTTACCATTTACCGCCCCGTCAAAAACATCACAGAGTTGGTGGAGGTGTGGGTGAGTAAAGTGGATGCACACATGAGTGAGACCCAACCAGATGCCTCACGACACCGTAGTTATTTCCGCGAAACGGTATTTGGCCCGCAATCGATATCGATGGACGTGGGTGTTGAAAACTTTCTACACATTGAGTTTAAGTATGACAAGAAGATCTTTCACCTCCAGGAACGTGTATTAGGGAAAGTGACATTTAAAATAGCTGACATGGATATTAAGTACGGTGAGGTGGGAGTTGTACGGAAAGAATTTATTGGCCCTGGCAACGCCACAGACATCATGCAAAGTGAAACCCTGCAGAAGTTTGAAATTATGGACGGCACACCGATTGTGGGGGAGGTGGTGCCGATACGCCTGTACCTCCGCTCTATCCCTCACCTCACCCCAACATACCCCAATGTGCACAACTGCTTTCGAGTACTGTACTTTTTGAACTTGGTGCTCATCACAGGGGAAGGCCGGCGGTACTTTAAACAGCAGGAGATTACGTTATATCGCAGACACGGGCAAGAGGCACCCATCGGTGCCGCCATGGAATCACCCTGAGAAGCAAGGAATAAGATATTCACCCAAGCAGATTGTCCTTTTTTTCTTTCATCTATCATTATGATGATGCATGTCTACATGTGCGTGTGTCTGTTTGTGTGTATTTATTTGTGTAAGCATGAGCACCGAATTGCCCAGACTTCTGTCCATTACAAAAAGTTACATGAAGTGGGAAGTCAAAGTGGAAAAGAAGAAAAAAACAAAAAGAGGAGGAGGAGGAGGAGGAGGAGGCAACGGAAGAGGAAGAGGAAGACAAATGAGGCAACCAAAAAGAAAAAGACGTCTTCTTCCTTCCATTTCGTCATTCCTTTTTTCTTTTCTTTCTTTCTTTCTTGTGTGTTCTCTGCGTCTTTTTAGTTTCACCCATTCTCATGCTTCTATTTATTTTGTTTTATTATATTATATTATATATATATATATATTTTGGGGGGGTCTTCTGCGTGCGGCCCCTGGGAAAAAAACAACAACCAAAAATACATGCACGCACGAGAGGGATGTTGACATGTTTTCCCCCCATTATTGTTAGAGAGGCAAAAGACATCCACATCCACAATGACACTTATTTCCTGCCTTCTTTTTTTTTCTTTTTTTTTTTTTTTTGGTTTTCTACGGATTCCTCTTTTTTTTTTTTTGTGTGTGTGTGTTGTTTGTTTGTTTGCCGTCGCCTACACCACGAAGCATCACACGCACCACTTCATTACACGCCGGGTGAGCAGCAACCCGACTAGGATTTGAGGCAACAACAGCGCACAGACAGAGACACACAAAAAAAGAAAAAGAAAGAAAAAAAGGAAGGCACGTGACTTACTGGCACATGGGATGTTTGTGCTTGAAAAGAAAACGCTTTTGTCATCTGTCGTAGCCTTTTTTTTACTGCGATGGCTTCTGTATCGCGTATTTCGTCATCGCCGTGGTGAAAAACTTGTACCGGGCAGCATTGCGGTCATCACCGGTGGGGGATCTGGCATCGGCCTGGAGTTCGCATATCTTTTTGCCCGGGCCGGCTGTCATGTTGTGCTTGTCGGTCGCAATGCCGAAAATTTGCATGCGGCGCGGGCCTCGTGCTTATCGTTGGGGGCACCAACCGCCGAGGTTGTCGTGGCAGACCTCAGCACGGTGGAGGGCACCGACAAAGTGGGCGACGCGCTGCAGGGACGGCAAGAGCCCCTCAAGTACGTAGTCCTCAACGCTGGGGCGGGCGCGATTGTCCCCTTTTCAAGTGATCCAAGCTTCAACGATGTCTGTGACAAAATGATGCAGATTAATTACTTTTCCAACGTTCGTCTACTGCAGCACCTATTGCCAGCACTCGAGAAGTCAAACTCCGCGGCCTGTTCGTCGCGGGTCATCGTCTTGTCATCTTTGGCAGGCGTACTGCCTTCAGTGTACCGCTCTGCATATACGGCATCCAAGCACGCCATTCAAGGATTCATGAACGCACTA